CCGGGCGCGCTCTGGACTGAGGCCCGCGAGCAGGCCCTATGCGGGCCCGGCCTGCGCAAGACCAAGTACCGCAGCTTCCGCCGGCGGCTGCTCAAGTTCATCCCGGGACTCAATCGCTCCCTGGAGGAGGAAGAGAGCCAGCTGTAGGGGCCGGGGATGGGGCGGGTGGGGTGGGGGCGGCGGGGAGGTATTTATTTATTTATTCATTCCTATCACCAGTGCAAAACGTGAGGGCAAGGTGGTGGTGGTCGTGTCGGGCACAGAGGACCCCAGGAGCCCAGCGCCTCGGGAGAGGGTCCTTGGCTAGCCTGGGCTTGGCCTGCTTGGCTCATGGCTTATCTCTACCAGGTCCCTTCCTTCCCCTCTAAACCACAGTGGGATCCTGGGACAGGAGTAGAATAGGCATTCCGGGTTGGGACCCAAAGATGGGTGTGCTATCCTTTAGTCTGGGTCAGTAGTGCCTTGTGGGATGTCCAGGAAAATCTCCCCAACCTCAGGTGGGAGAGTCCTGTCTCATGAAGCCCTCTCCTCAGCTTTCTTTGCTCCCCACCCTTATCCTTGGGGAGATGGGTCCATCCCCCTACACACACACACACACACACACCTTCGGTTCCAGCAGGCCCCTTGAGACAAGGTGCTGGTCTTCCTCCCTCTGACCTTGACCTCTAAGGGCTTGGCCCCTTCCTAAGGGCCTGTAACTAAGTGGGGTCCTGCCAGGCAGGGGTCCTGGGTTCTGTGGCCCCTTGGGGAACAGGGCCTGACATGTTCAGGTGGGCTGGGCCTGCACAGACGTTCCACTGTTTTGCCTATGTTGCTTCTGAACCACAAAGTGTATAAAATTGAAGGTTTTTTGGTTTTTCTTTTTGCATCTGTGTCAGCATGGTTACTGCCTGTGGGGGAGGACTGGGCTCGGGCAAGTCTGACTCCACCGTGCACCCCCTCCAAACACACACACACTATATTTTACTTTTTTTTCTCTTCTTTCTTTTCTTGCAGCCTGAGGCCAGGGAAATCTTCTGGGAGATTTTAAGGGACATGAACAGGCCTGAATGGAGGCCCCACACCCTCGTAGAACTTGGCCCTCTTGTTTGAAGATGCATCCTTAGCATTAGCTTTCCTCCACAAGTATCCACAATGCGCAGTGGGTGCCATGTCTGAGTCCTTAACTATTCTTGCACCAATGCTTGGCTCCTCTCTCTTGCCAGTATCTCGGCTTCATCCAGGGCAGAAGCCAGATTGCCTGGGACTTGGCCACTATTTACCCCACCTGACAGACCTCTATCACCTAATTTTTTCCCAGTACTCTCAGAATAGGATTCTGCTGCTGCCTTTTTTTTTTTCTTTTTGCCAATCCTGGGGCTTGAACTCAGGGCCTGGACATTGTCCCTTAGCGTCTTTTGCTCAAGCCTAGCACTACCAGTTGAGCCACAGTGCCACTTGCAGCTTATTCTGTTTATATGGTGCTGAGGAATTGAATCCAGGGCTTCACGAATGCAAGCAAGCACTCTACCACTGAGCCACCTTCCCAGCCCTGCCTTCTTTTTTGTACTGGCTCCTCCCAAAGGTGTGGAGTTTTTTGTTGTTGTTGTTGTTAGTTGGTATTGCTGGTACTAAGCCTTGAACTTAGAGCCTGGGAGCTATTCCTTACCTTTTTTTTTGCTCAAGCCTGGCCCTCTACTACTTGTGCCACAGCTCCACTTCTGGCTTTTTGTTGATTAATTGGAGCTAAGAGTCTTATGCACATTTCTGTCCAAGCTGGCTTGGAACCATGATCCCTCAGATCTCAGCCTCCCAAGTACCTAGGATTTTTTTTTTTTTTTGGGTCCGGTCGTGGGACCTGAACTCTGGGCCTGGGCGCTGTCCCTCAGCTCTTCAGCTCAAGGCTAGCACTCTACCACTTGAGCCACAGCGCCACTTCGGCTTTTTTCTTTTTGCTTATGTGGTGCTGAGGAATCGAACCCAAGGCCTCATGCATGCAAGGCAAGCGCTCTACCACTGAGCCACCTTCCCAGCCCCTAGGAATTTTTTAAAAATACTTTTTATTGAGATTGATTACATAAATTTCACAGTGTTGTGGGATAGTGATACTTATTTAAGGTCACATACTCATTTAACCTTCACAAGGCAAATTGTCATTATGGGAGTAGCTAGGATTACAGCTGGCACCTGGCTTTCTCCCACAGTTGACCCCTTCAGTGCCCAGTAAGGCTCTGCCACCCAGATGAACATCCCATTGTGCCCTCATGTGTCACAGCCCCACTTGACTTCCACCACAAATGCATCACCATCTGAAATTGTCTCCACTTTCATGGGTTTGGGTGTGTCCCCTCCCCCAGTAGGAAGTCAAATGTAGCTCCTCACAGTAGGCCTTAGGGCCCTTTTTGGTCTCATTCACTGCTTTATTCTTACTTCCTTGAGGTGGCCCTTGACCTGTGCAGGGCCATGGAGCAAGTGAGCAGAGCTGGGCCTGGGGTTTAAGTGTCCTACTCTAGTATTCCCTGCCCCTTCCCAGCCAGGCTGCCGCCCTGCCCTGCCTGCTGTATTTGCCTCCTGGGTGCCTCCCCTGCTTTCCCTTTCCCCTCTGTTGTTTTCCACTCAGCAGTCAGGCCCATCTTTTTAAAAAGGATGCAGATCACAGGCCTCTGCAGAAAACCTATCATAGCTTCCCTGAAATCAAGAGTGTGGCTCAAACTCTTACCATGGCCCATCCATGACACATCCTCTGAGCATAAAGTACCAAAAGATGTCCCCACTCCCAGGGCCCAGCAGCCGCCTACTGCCCCTTGTCCTGCACAAGGCCTTCTCAGGTCTCAGCCTTGTCCTGAGTCTCAAACTGTTTCCATGTCCCATATTCAAGCCATACTTAATCATTCTGTTCCTATTCCTTCTCTCTGCCAGCTCTCTCCTGTTTCTGGCCTTTGCCTTGTTGTTCCCTCTGCCTAGAATACTCTTCCAGCCTGACTTCTGCTCAGCTTCACATCACCTTCTCAGAGAGGTTCCTTGAACTGATCTGACCTCTTTTTCCATCCCTCTTATTCTTGATGTCAAGCCTCCTGCCCGTGTTTGTGTTTTCTTCACAGTACTTTCTCCTGTTTGCCATTAGGGGAGGAGGAAGCCCCAGCCTTGTTTAAAGCTCAGCGCTGGGGTGGAGAACTAAATGGGGTGAGTTCCTGGCTTCAGCCTCCAGTACTGGCAACATTAAATAAATAAATACACAAAAACCAACATGTGAATCATCAAGAAAGCTTCAGCCCTGAAGGGGCCAAACCCGCCCACAGCAGGTGCTTAGTTAAGCCTTGCTGAGGGGGAATATCCCTTCTTCCCTTTGGGCCACCCCCGCTTGGGGAGGCGGGGAAGGGGGTGTGGGGGACCTCTACTGCCGAGCTGCCCTACCTGTGGGGGTGGGGGGAGATACCCCCTCCTCTTCTCCATTTGCACCTGGCATCTGTGAGCTCTTTTGGGGAAGTCCCTGTGGGGCTGGTGGTGGCTCCAGTTGGGGGACCTGCACCTGGCTAGCCTATCCTCCTTGGCCTGGAAAAGGGGTATTGGGTAAAGAAAATGGAGCCTTCCCGAGATCAGTGTTTGAACAGCTGCTGTGCAGTGAGGACAAACAGATGGGGATGGGGGGGTGCTGTGGGTCTAGGGGCGGGGCCCTCACACCTTTGTTCCCAAAGCCCAGGGCTGCCAGGTGACCAGCTGCAGGGCACCGCTCAGCACCTTGGGTCAGGGGGAGGGTGGGAGACAGTGGGAGACAAGGAAGCCTGGCTTTCTCCTCTCCAGTAGATTCTGGTCTTCTGCCCACAGCCTGTCCCCAGACTCCTGGCCTTGGGCTGGTCTGGGGAGTGGTATCTCCACTCCTCACCCAGGTGGGGAGAGGGGGTAAGGGCTCCTGGCTGGGTGTCTGTGTGTACACGGGGGTGAGGGATGGAGGGGGGATCCAGAGAGGGGCCAAATCCCACCTCTCAGCTGATGGATGACGGCACCAGCATAGCAGCCTCCTGCCGTGTAGGTGGGTGACAGGGAGTGACTAATGTGTGAGCTGCGATGCTAAAAATTAACCCAGGGATCGTGTTTGGTGGAGGGGGTGGGGGTGGATGGGGGAAAGGAGCTAGGATGGATTTTGAGTGGTCGGTATTCCCTGCCTCCCTCTCTCCTCCCCTCCCACCAGCCTTCTGTGCTTCCCCAAGCCTCTAGGAGCCCTTCCCCAGCCTCAGGCCAGAAGGGGCCCCTAGCAACTCCAGGGAAGGGCGTGGACTCCACTGTAGGGAAAGGCTTTGAGGCCCCCCTACCTAACCCTGGGTTGACTCCCACCTCCCTGCCCCTTGGTGTTGGCCTCCTTGCTCAGGCCAAGAGCAGTGGGAGAAGCAGCCAGGGCATAGCAACAAAGGCAGGTTGTCATCAGCAAACTGGATTTGGGGGCAGCTGGATTCATGGGCACCTGCTCAAAAAGAAAAGATAGGGGACAATCTCCCAGAACACCTCCCCTATGCTCCCTGACACCATACTATGCTAACCTCTTCCACATCCTTTACCCCTGGCCTCCCAATATATTTGACTCGTGTATCACAGTACGACTTCACAGATGAAGAAACAGAGTACAAGGTTAAGGTGACATAGCTGGTCCCTGGAAGAGCTAGGATTCTCTCAGGTTGGTCTCTATAGCCTGCAGCAGGGAGAAGGAAGGCTTCCCGGAGAAAGGGGTATGAAGCCAGGGTCAAGGAAATGGTAAGGAATAGATTGAGCCTGTAGAGTTATTGTGGGACTTACTTGTGGAAACAGAGTGGGATAGGGAAGGTTTATGAAAGGTAGGACCTGAAAGAGCAGGATCTGAGTTGTGTCAGTTCTCAAAGGAGAAGATCAGGTCCAGAGAGATCAAATTGTTGTCCTGGTATGAGAGAGGTGAGAGCATTCCCATTAAAGCAGGGAAACGAGGAGGGCTGTTAGAAGTTGATTCATGGAAGAGGCTTGGGCTTAGAAAAGGGCTTTATTGGCACATATATGAAAACCTGCTAGAAATGACCTCATGAATACTCATGACCTCATTTTCCCTCCACACCAAACCAGAGAACCTGACTGAGCTGAATGAGATGAGACAATAGAAGCACTTTCTGCTCACCAGACAACAATTCTTGAAGCTGGGGAAGTGAGGGAGGTTGTGGG